TGCATAACGAACAAATTAACAACGAAATAGCTCTGCATCAAAGGTCTAGTTGGTTATTCAAATCAGTGAAACTTAAAAAGACAGATTTTGGACTAGTTCTGTTTGTAGAGTAGTTGAAATTGTCTAAATGAGCTGTGGTGTGTATAAAGCAATATTATTGTGATGTATGATCACCAGAAAGGCATTAAAGGTCTCTTTCTCACCAGAACGAGGTGTCAGAATGTTCCACAACTGCTTAAAATGATACCAGCAAGGCCTGAGATGCTCCGGTGACTGGAAGGCGGATTGTGTCCTCAAAGGTCACCAATCACCATTGGAGGGACGAAGGTCCGACCACTGGCTCTGAAGTCAGCTGGGATTTATCACTCTGCAGTGCGATGGCTCTGGTTTGGTCAGGTTTCTCTCGTCCTGAGACGTTTGCAGAAAAGGCTGCTTCTCTCCCGTTCCCTTCCTTCCTAGGATATCTCACTATAGGATGCGTCTTTCTCTGAAGTTTCCTTGAAGTTCAGTGCTTGAAGAAGAAGTGGTGAAGAAGATGGGATGTAGAAGAAGTGGAACTTAACTGTCTGTGTGTTACAGATTGACTTTCGTCCTAACTCTTTGTCATGTTTGATAAAATCTAATGTCCGTTTTCTCTGTCTGCCTTTAAAAGTCACTCTTTTTTAAAAAGAGAAAAACATAAAACAAGTGATTATCTTAAAGAGAGATTACTTAAACAGACATTTTCATAAACAAACATTCAGTTCTGAAGCTTTTGAAATAACATGCAATGTTCATCAAAAGCTGTCGCTGTTCATCTCCTGAAAAGAAAATGTCATTTTAAACAAAGGGTTCTTTAAAATGTGTTATCTTCATGGGAACCCATCCTGGGAGTAATACTCCTTATTTTTTGATAAAAGCTAAAGTCTCAGCAGATGTTTCACATCGAGGTCAGTTGAACCAAACTCATTAAACGACCTGTCCGTTTCATGGGAAATGGGTTCATATTGAAAGTGAAGTTTTAGCACAGTAACAGTTTTTTTATTACACTTTCATTAGTGTCAACTAAGTTAGTGCTGAGTTGAACACCTGTAAAGCAAAGTCTGTTTGTTCCCAAGGGAATAGATGCATCTTATTTTAAACAGTTTAAAACACAAAACACATGAATGATGTTTGTTTGAGATGAAGTGAACTCCTTTTTCTGTTTAAGCTGAGATGAACTGTTTTCTGAGATGAGGTGTTCTTTTTTCTGAGGTGGTGAACTGTTTCTGAGGTGGTGTTTCCCTACAAATATAATTTTCTTCCATTTATTTTTCAATTTATATGCTTTTTTTCATGATTGTCTAATGTTGTCTTTATTGTCTACTGTTGTCATTTTTTGTTAAACCAGGCCTCTCTTGTCTCTGAGTCTTCAAGACTCAGTGAGACTAACCTTGATAAATAAAGGTTGAAAAAAATTAGCATTTTTAGCATCTTTTATTAACATTTTTAGCATGTTTTATTATCATTTTAGCATCTTTTATTAGCATTTTTAGCATTGCTGAAAGTGGCAGTGCTTTTTGTACCGACCTCAGCTGAAGTGTTCCCAACTTTAAAAACCTGCTAACATCCTGATCCACTGAAACATGGTTTCCTTCATACATTTATAAATATATATCTACATATGTGGATGTGGATGTATGTGGGTGTGTATGTGTATGCAAATACATGCATATATACATATGTGTGTGTTTATAAATATCTATATTCAGTTCAATTCAAACTTTATTTATACAGGTTAGTCTGTAGGGACTGAGATGGTGTACAGGTAGAACAGCTGACTTGGGCCCAGAAAGTAGCGGTTCAACTCCCAGCCATTCCCACATGTTGTGGTGTCTCTGAGCACAACATCTGATCCCTGATTGCTCCCCGGGTGCTTACATAGCTGCCCACTGCTCCACCTGGATGTATCTCAGGTGTGATGGACTAAATGCAGAGAACTAATTTTGCCATTGTAAGGGAACATACATTGATGACAATCTCAAACTTCCCTTACCTCCCACATTGAGTCATGAGGACTCGTTTTCGAGAGAGACCTGTTTTAGACAAAACTGCAGAGATACACACAGCAATAAACAGCCATAAAATGCATATAAAATTATAAATAAATACAAGTGTAGATATAAAACAAAATAAAACCAAGCTACATAATAAAACAGGGTAAAATACTAAAAACAGGAACATGTCTGCATTGGTTGTTGCACTGAACTTAACTTATTTTTCTTCTTTCAGCTTTTCCCTCTTCAGGGTCTCCACTGCGAGTCATCCTCCTCCATCTCTCTCTGTCCTCTGCATCCTCTGTCCTCACTCCAACTACCTCCATGTCATCTCTAACTGCATCCATATATCTCCTTTTTGTCTTTTTCCTGGCAACTGCATTTTTAACATCCTTCTACCAATATACCCACTGTCCCTCATCTAGACATGTCCAAACCACTGTCCCTCATCTGGACATGTCCAAACCATCTCAGTCTGGACTCTCTAACTATCTCCCAGTACAACCTGTGTTGTACCTCTGATGGACTCATTCCTAATCTTATCCATCCTTGTCACTCCTAAGGAGACCTCAACATCTTCATTTCTGCTACTTCCTGTTCTGTCTCCTGTCTTTTTGCTAATGCCACTGTCTCCAGACCATACAACATAGTTGGTCTCAGCATTGTCTTATAAACTTTTCCTTTGACATTTGCTGACACCATTTTGTCACAAATCACTCCTGAAACTTTTCTCCATCCACTTCATCCTGCCTGGACTCTCTTTTCCACCTTTTTATCACATTCCCCATTTTCCTGGACAGTGGACCCCAAGTACTTAAAGTTCTGCACCTTTGTGACCTCTGCTCCTTGTAATCTCACTGTTCCACTGGCCTCCCTCTCATTCACACACATGTACTCTGTCTTACTACAGCTGACTTTCATTGCATTAAACTTAAGAGTAATTTAAAATCCCTTAGAGAGGTCAAATTGGACATCTTCAGATCTTTTTGCAAGGTGTTCCAGGGTAACCTAGCGGAGTAGCGGAGTAAGAAAAGGCCCTTTTGCCAAGTTTTGTCTGCACTGAGGGGACGCTGCAGGTAAATATGTCCTGAGAACGGACGCTGTAGATGTACTTACAAAGTGACATGTAGGAGGAGATATATGAAGGCAGCAGACCAAGAAGTGATTTAAAGATGTAATTAATATCATATAAACACAATAATATATGTGTGTATATGTGCACTTGTGTGGGGGAGTTAGAGAGGGTGGACCTGTGATCAGAGGGTCACCAGTCAACTCCCCGGTTCAACTTCTCGGACCAACAACATCAAAACGTGGGTGGAAAAGGTGAAACTAGTGATGGTAGTATGAAACAAAAGCTTCAAAACATTCTTTGAGCCCTGTAGTAAAATTACATTGGACCACTGCCTGTTTTGGTGCAGGAGAAGTCACGTGACACGTGACGTCCGAAACACAAACTGTTTTGTTGTTGGAATGAATCTCTTGACTGGTTCGCCGTCCAAACAGCTGATTCCCTGACACCACCTCGTCTTGAGTCTGACAGGTGACAGGTTGAGACGGTTTTGAATTGAGTGCACTCAACACTATAAAACAGCTCTAAAATATTTGCAATGTGTTGGAGAGTAGGTGTGTTTTTACTGTTGTGTTGTTGATATAGTTGAAATTGAGTAATTATGGAGCCAGCCAGGAAAAGAGGTCATTCTAACAACACTTCATTCTGCTCATGATAGGTGGTTTTGGCATTTAAATGTCAAAAAAGTTATAGTAACGTTCAGCAGTGAAGATATTATCTAACCCATTTAACCCATGTATTTAATATAATTACAGTAAAATGATGTATGTGATTTTAATAGTCATAAGCCAGTATGGGCTCAAATTATTATTTTTTTATTTACATTAGTGTATTTCTGCAGGTGCAGTGTTTGGTGTGTTCAACTGAACTGAAGCATCATGATACCTCCTCTATGATTAGACACTTCAGCGCCAAACATGGAGATACAGGAGATGTCATTTCATTGTTATTTTTAAGAATGATAAAGACTCTGATTCTGCCAAAGTTACACAAGCGCAATAACATTGCATCATTTTTATTTTTATTTTATTTTATCTCTTCAATGCACATTTATCAATCTTTATTCAAAAACATGTAGGCATAAATACATTTTCAAACCAGACAACATAGAAAGTTGATGAATTTAAAAATCTGTTTTTTACCACAGTAAAGTAGTTTCTTTAACACTAGTCACTGAAGTTCTTCGGTGTGTGGCACCAAAAGCATAACGCCTAATTTGACAGCAGCATTGCAAAATGCCACAAGAGGCCACTGTAACTGAAGCTTCAACAAATGAACCTATTTTTGAAACAATTGGCCCAACTGGTTCAATGCTTCATAAAAGCTTCATTTGCTCATCACTAGGTGAAACACCCACACCTGCCTCCACCCTTATTTGCCCCACTTGGGCCCTTGTGCAAGGCCCTTAACACCCCCCCCCCCCCCCAGCTGCTCCCCCGGATATCCCGGAATCCTGTAGCAGCTCTCTACTCCACACAGAGGGTTGTGGTAGCTCAGTGGTCTGTGGTTATGTCAGGAAGGACATCCAGAGTACAAAAAAATCACCAACCAAGTCTTCGTGCAACAGTTCGCTGTGGTGACCCCTGAAGAAGGGAGCAGTCGAAAGAAGGACAAATAATAATAATAATAATAAAAAACATGTAGTATATACATACACACACACACACACACACATATATATATATACAATATACACAGTATATTTAAGCAAAATTAGTTGTTAAAGCCTCGTGTTCAGTCGTGTCACAGTGTACAGTTCAGTCAGGGTGTCTGTTGGTGTTCACCTGGAAAATTTGCTTTCTTTAAGATAACCAGCAGTGATCTGAACAGCACACACCAGATTTATCCCCAGTCCAACCACTTGAGATACTGTGATATCAATTAGTGAGATGATATGCTTGCCTTTGAAGCAGGTTTGGTGATTCTGAGGAAGACTTCTCCCAGAAGCAGGGCTCTGGGGGTACGCCTGGCCAACCAGAGGACTCAGACAACCAGAGAAATGTCAGACGAACAGACCAAACCTCCATCCACATTTCTCCTGTCACTGTCACCTCCCCACCAGGAGGAAGTACCCACCGACCAAGTTAGTACCAACTATTGTCTTCAGAGGTTCAATCAATGTAGTGACACATGCAGGAAGGAGCAGCCTAAAGAACAACAACAATATGACACAGCACACATGCCTAATCTGACACTGTGTGAGGGCAGCAGATGGTTCAGGTAGCTGAATAAAGTTTAAATAAATGTAACAATAATGTTTTTCCCTGATATTTCTTATTAATGTGGATAAAAAATTAGTAACGATAAAATGAAACGAAACACTTTAATTAGGGCATTGCACTTAAATGTTTTGAAGAATGTACTTTGCAAGTTATTAAATTATAATTCTTAAAAATATACAAGTGAAACGTTTCCTTTACTTTCATTAATTTAAACTCTTCTTCGTGTGGTTTTAAGGCTTCAGATACAAAATGCTAACCAGAAATGGCTTTTTTTGAAGGAAATGTCCAAAGAAAGACCTAATGATGAAGTATCTTCTTATTTGCTGAAGCAGTCAGATCCTCTGATTGATTGATTAATTGATTGATCTAAATATATTTTATATCCCAGAGGAGCATTTATTTCACAAGAATTCAAAACATTTGACAGAACTCAAACTGGCTGCTACCTTTCCATTCAGTTAGTTTTAGCTGTTTCTTGCAGGTTCTTGTTTTTAGTGAGCACTCTAATCATAAATGGTAAATGGACTGTACTTATATAGCGCCTTTCTATCTTATTTCAAGATACTCAAAGCGCTTTACACTACAATCTGTATCCTCATTTACCCATTCATACAGCACTCTACTAGATTTCTACAAAGCTAATTGAACAAATCATTCTAATGAGACTAATCAGAGCTTTTAGATCACATTCATACACCGATGGGACACACATCAGAGGCAATGAGGGGTTCAGTGTCTTGCCCAGGGACACTTGAGCATATGACTGCTGGTGGATTCGAACCCCCAACTCTCGCATTGGAGGACGACTGCTCTAACCACTCAGCCACAGCCGCCCACAATCATAGTCATAATCATAAATGTGTTCCTCACACAAATTCTTTGTAATTTCTTCCAACTGTGGATTATAGTTGCCCTGTACACACTGCTGGACCTGCTTTTACAAATCTCTTCTTTTGTGTTTCAAAATCTCTCTCCAGTGAACAATACAGACTGTGAAGTGGTGCCCATGAATGAGAAGAACTTGGAGGGTCTATGTGAGTCTGGACCCAGACCCATTCTGCCTCACAGTTCTATGTTCTTTTTCGGACAGACCAACCTGTGAGTTACTTCAGTCTGGTCCTTTACTACCCGCAGTCTTGTCCTTTACCACCCTCAGTCTTGTCCTTTACCACCCTCAGTCTGGTTCTTTACCACCCGTCAATCTGCTCCTTTACTACCCTCAGTCTGCAACTCACTGCTAACACTATAATAATAATAATAATAATAATTTTATTTAAAAAGCACCTTTCAGGACACCCAAGGACACTTTACAGTAAGAAAAACAGGAATAAATTAAAGTATAAAATACATAAAGTATATAAAATACATACAGAATATAAAATACATAAATAATATAAAATACATACAGCAAAGTTAAGGATAAGCGAGTCTATAGAGATGTGTTTTCAGAGCAGTCTTGAATAGAGAAAGAGAGGTGGTGTTTCGTAAGTCAGGGGGTAGAGAGTTCCAGAGATGAGGGGCAGAGCAGGTGAAGGCCCTGCTCCCCATGGTGGAGAGGCAGGCAGAGGGTACATGGAGGTGTAGTGAAGAGGAGGATCTGAGAGAGCGAGAGGGGATGGAGATGTGTAGGAGGTCAGATAGGTACGGAGGGGCAAGGTTGTGGATGGCTTTGAAAGTGAGAAGAAGAATTTTGAAGACGATGCGTGATTTAACCGGGAGCCAGTGGAGCTGCTGCAGGACTGGAGTGATGTGATTATAGGAGGAGCTTTGAGTTATGACACGGGCAGCTGAGTTCTGGACCAATTGCAGCTTCTGGAGAGTTTTGTTGGGGAGGCCATAAAGAAAGGAGTTTGCAGTAGTCAATCCGAGAAGTCACAAGACTGTGAACAAGGATGGCTGTGGAGCGAGGTGTGAGAGAAGGGCGGAGGCGGTTACTATTTCTGAGATGGAAATAGGCAGACCGAGTAACATTGTTGATGTGTGAAGTGAAGGAGAGAGTGGTGTCGAGGATGACACCAAGACTCTTGACCTGAGGTGAGGGGGATAGCAGAGAGTTGTTAAGGGGGATGAGAAGATGTTCTGAAACTAAACTATAGGTTTAACTACAAGAGCAGACTGGAGGGATAAAGTCTGTCCAGCCAGCCAGTCAAACAGTCAAGTCAGTAAGCAGCTTTATTCTGTTGCAGGGGCAGACTTTATGAATAGGTTTTTAATTTCTGGTGGGTTCATGTAAAATATATTTCTGGAATGCAGGAAATAAATGTAACTTTTGCTTTTGGATCAAACTGTTTTATTTGTTGTGATGTATTCATGTTTTACATGTTTGTTTCTGTGATTTTATGTCTTTTATGCTTAGGCGATTATAAATCCTTGATTTCTTGATCATTGAACTATTGACATTTTTCACCATCAATGTTAGTTTCTATTAAAACAGGAAGTTGTTACAGCTGCTTCCTGTTTCTTTGTGTCTGCTCAGGGTGAGGCGGCTGTGTCACTACATCGTGACCCTGCGGTACTTTGAGATGTCCATCTTGGTCGTCATCACAATGAGCAGCATTGCTCTGGCAGCAGAGGACCCCGTTTGGACACATGCTCCTCGCAACAACGTGAGGCAAACTGAATACACTTGTTCCTTTTTTTTATTTAACCTTTATTTATACAGGTGGTTTCATTGAGTCATGTGGACTCATTTTCAAGAGAGGCCTGTTTGGGAGAAGATGGTGGGAGTTAAGAGCCTTGCTCAAGGGCCCAGAGTGGGGCAAATGAGGGTGGAGGCAGGTGTGGCTTTTTCACCTTTCCCACCCACATTTTGATGTTGTCAGCTCAAGGAGTCGAACCGGCAACCTTCCGATCACAGGCCCACCTTCTCTAACCTCTGCACCACCACTCCTCTTAGAAAAGTATTTAAGATATTTGTTCTGGTTAGTAAGAGTTTTTCTTCTGACTGTAAAATGGGACACATGAAGAAAAGTTTTCTAGTATGTGAAATAATACAACTAAATAATATATTTGACTGTCTGAATAATAAAATGTAAACTATCAGAATCTGCATGTACTGCCTGACAGTCAATACACAACCAACTGGGAGAGTCATACAACCTGAAATATCTAATACTACTAATAAAACCCTTTATTTAATTTAACCAGGTAACTCCTTTGTGAACCATTTTTCATTTACAGTGATGACCAATGAACCTTGGAGACACGCTCTGTCAGCAGAATACAGATCATCATTGAAGATAGTCATGAGGAAATGGTATAAATAAATACAATAAATCAAAAAGGGCATTCAGAAAGAAAGCAGAGAACTCTTGTCATAGTAGCACAAGAATAAGAAAAAAAAAATTAGAAGACATTTTGTTGGTGCCTGCCACTTGTTACATAATATCCAACACCATGACATAGTTAGTTGAACATGTGCATACAAAAATAACTTTCTGTTCAGGCCTTATTAAAGTTGTCATAAAAATCATAAATGAAGATACACATTTAGAGAGTGATAGTAGTTTGTACCTTGAAGCAGTAGATTTTTCTGTATATAAGAGGCACCAACACAAGATCCATGAAGAGCAAGTTCTTCTGAAACAAAAGGAGCACATTGTGCAGTACATGGTACCAGGGTGGAAGATGTTAGCTGGCATTATACTTGTACACAGAGGAACACAAACTAAATGGCTTTTCTGGTTTGCAGGAGCATTGATTTCAAGTGTAAGACTAAAATCTCACCAAATGAAGCACACCACTGTAAGAAACAAGTATGCATAAATACTGTAAAAAAGTCAAGTTCCATGTTGACCCACAGCTAACATGAATACAGTAGAAGTACAAGGTACAGAAAAAAGCTTTTGGCATTGAGAATTATTCCATTAATATTAACAGATAAAGAAACATTAAATAGACAAAAAAGCTGCAATGGTGGGCACAGTTCTGCTAACCCACTAATAGCTGAGCTTATTTTCCAGGTAGTATATTAGTGCTTTTGCTAACTTTAAAAACCTTCAGTGGAATTAGTCCTGACAAAATTAAATCCTGTATAATCAAGTCTGAATTGTTTTTAAGGATGTTCTCTGCACCATAATCATACAGTGCAATTGTGATATTAACAAAACTATGCAAAGCTCAATTAAGCTAAGCACTAACCATAGATGTCACCACTTTGAATGTGCTTTTTCCTCCTCATATTTACCTCAAACAGTCTCTAGCCCATGGTGTCAGTTTACAGCCAATAACAGACTTTAACTGAAATGAAGCCAGAACAGGAAGATAACATGAAAAAACACATTTTCACACTCAGAAACATGATAAACAACCAGAAACAGAAAGTTTAATTCTTACCCAGCATGTTTTGCAAGACTCACAGTGTCACTGGGATGTGACTTTCTCACACATATCATACATCTTTACTTCAATAAAAACAGCAACTTTGTAGTTAGTTTATAAAAGTTGTTATCCACAAAGAGGATTGCTAAAGTGAATTATTTATTTACAGTAAATGACAGACGGGAGAGGTCCGACACACATTGAATGCATCATTATAGTAAATGACAGGAGGGAAACGTCAGACAGACATTGAATTTATCATTAAAGTAAATTACAGGAGGGAGACGTCCGACACACCTCGAAAGCATAATTACAGTATCCAAAAAAGTTCAATCTGGTCCTCTGGACATTCAAAAAAACAAAAGCAAAACAAAGCAAAAAAAAATTCTAGAAACGTTTCGTCTCTCATCCAAGAGACTTCCTCAGTCTGAGGTGCTGTTTTCAGCTCAGTCTCTTAAATAGCACCTTCTTAGAGTGGATCAACCAGTTTGCTGCTGACAACCAAAACCAACTGATCACATGCTCAAGCAGGACCATCAGCCTAACAATGGGTCATTAGCACACTGATGGCTGTTTACTACTCACAGAGGGCTGAGTGATACTAGCAATCACAGCATTGTAAGAGGGGGACAGTTGAACCCGGAGGCCTCCACCCCTGTTTAATGATGGACGATTTCTTTTCACAAAGATGGCCTCCTTTACTCCTCTCTCAAACCATCGTTCCTCTCTGTCCAGGATGTGAACATCTTCATCCTTGAAAGAGTGACCGCTGGCCTGGAGATGAGTGTAGACCGCAGAATCCTGGCCTGATGATGTTGATCTTCTGTGCTGGGCCATCCTTTTGGCCAGTGGCTGTTTAGTTTCCCCGATGTAAGACTGATCACAGCCCTCCTGACACTGAACAGCATACACAACATTGCTCTGTTTGTGCCGGGGGACTGGATCTTTGGGATGAACCAGTCTTTGCCGTAATGTATTTTGGGGTTTAAAAGCCACTGGGACGTTATGTTTAGAAAATAAACGTCTCAGTTTCTCTGATACTCCCTCAACATATGGAATGACCACTGGTCTGGGTCTGGGTTCCTCCTTTTCACCTG